GTGACAGGGGGTGGCGCCGCAACCTCCCCATCGACCCTGCCTTGAGTGTGACAGGGGGCGGTGCCCCAACCCCCCAATCGGCCCTACCCTGAGCGTGACTGAGGGTGGCATCGCAACCTCCCGATCCGGCCTGCTCTGTGCTTGACAGGGGGCGGCGCCCCAACTCCCCAATCGGCCCTGCTCTGAGCCCGACCAGGGGCTGCACCTAGGGATTGGGCCTGCCCTCTGCCACCCGGGAGCAGGCCTAAGCCAGCAGGTCATTATCTCCTGAGGGGTCCCAGACTGCGAGAGGGCACAGGCCGGGCTGAGGGACCCCCTCTCCCCCCCGAGTGCACAAATTTTTGTGCACCGGCCTCTAGTATTATATAATAAAAGCCTAATATTCTATGTGTCCATCCACCAGTTGGCCGTTCAATCAATCAAAGCGTATTAGCCTAATGAAATGCTAAGGCCACTCAACTACTCACTCTGATGTGCACTGATCACCAGGGAGCAGACACTCCAACTGATAGGTTAGCTTGCTGCTGGCGTCTGGCTGATCAGGACTGAGACAGATGGGCTGGACACACCTGGGAGCCCTCCTGAGTTCCCTCCTCAGTTGTTTAACCTCTTGCATCTCTCCCTGGACCTGATTGTGCACTGTGGGGTCCCTTGGCCTGTCCTTCACCCTATCGCAATCCGGGACCTTTTGGAGTTTTGGAGAGTCAGTTTTGGCCTGATTCTGCAGGCCAGGCCTAGGGACCTCACTGGTGCACGAATTTGTGCACTGGGCCTCTAGTTACTATATAGGAGCCTGTCATGCACTCTTTTAAACACTTTAATGGAGCTTAGAAATAGCCACCTAGCCAGGCCTGTATTGCTCAGTGGTTGAGTGTCGACCCATGAACTAGGTCACAGTTGGATTGCAGTCAGGGCACATGCCTGGGTTGGCTCGATCCTCAGTAGGGGGAGTACAGCTGATATATGATTCTATCTCTCCCTTTCCCCTTTTCTCTCTGAAATCAATAAAAGCATATTTAAAAAAGGTTTTTAAAGAAGTAATAGCCATCTAATCACACAGTTCTTATAGTTACTATTTCTTTGTAAATGCTAGACCATTGCATCAGCACCTCTTCCCTATATCTAATCAGTTTCCTACAGGGGAATGTTTTTGCAACGGCACTGTTTTAGTACCCCATGGATTATCAATATTCTACCTGTTACCATCTGGCTAGACAGTGATCCAACTCAGAACTCCATGCTTAGGGCTGGCTGCTAAGATGATTATGTGATGTTGGGTTCCCTAAAAGCAAAGGCTGAGATAAAGTTTCTTCATTAAGTGATTTATTGTGAGAATTCTCTCATGAGGAGGAGGGATAAGGGAAGCAGGATACCACAGTGAGAACTGCTAAGCAAGGATGTGGTCATAGCACAGGAACATGAATCACTTCACATGGTTAGTTCAGACTTGGTGCTGGGAACGAACCCCCAGCACAAAGAAATGTAACCTTCAAGTGACTCTGCCTCCATTTGGCCCAAAGCATTACATTGGGGAGAGGTGGCATCAGCAACCAACACTCATAGCAGCTGGGGGATGAGAAATCTGCCTGAAAGCAGGATTTTCCAGGGTATCAGCAGCATCCACTACACCAGTGAACTGTTCTGATTTGTTTTCTGGATAGCAAAGATGTCTTGGAAATTCTTCTTAAATTCCTCCTCTGTTAGGCCTGAGTCATTGTGCTGGGGGGAAAAAAGCAACACACAGACAAATATAATGACACTCAAT